CAATCAAATTCAAGTTGAGTTCAAGCAGGGAGAGGAGCTCAACAAGCCTTGCGCCCCTCTGTTATCTTAAAAACCATGAGATCCCCCCAAATTCCTCCTTCCCGCTCCCCGGTCCCTAGGGTTATTTTTAAAATTTGAAAAGAGTTTTAAAATTCCGTGTTGTGTTTCCTTTTTCACTGAAAGTTTTCTCCATCTTCATATTTTCCTTATTGCCGCGAATAACAGCGCTAGAGCAACGAAGAAAGAAAACCTTTAAAGTAATAATTGTGTTGTAACAAAGCGAAGCAGGTCATCATAAAGCTTTGACGAGAACGCTGTGGGATTAGTTATAAGCCATAAAATAACACATGTGATCATAAAGAGTATATTTTAACACTTAGCAACGTTATCAAGTGCCAAAATAAATAGGAGAAATGTAAGCATGCTACAATTGTACATATTTATTCCGGACATTAATTTAAAAGTGTCAAGCCTTGATCATTTTACGTTTGCTCCAATATAAGGCTCTATTTGTGTCAGTTTGGAGTAAAATCACGGCTCATTTTCATTTTTTAAAGGCAAGGCAAAGTTGTCTAGAGAACCCGTGAATTTTTAATGCATTCCATAGTCTCCAATATGAATCGAAGCTATCAGCGATTGATACCGTCAAGTCTTAGCAACCCCTTCTCTGTGTCATTCGAAAATTATTTCTTGTCTTATCACCTCTCCGCTTCTGATACCGTAACACCTCCATTTAAAATCCTTCCGGGAAATACGAGTGCTTAACTACTTGTCAGGTGACCTCTTCGGTAAAGGTCTGTCTAGAAATGATCTTCCATCACTGTAATTCCATTGATGACGCTTGACAAACGCTACCGTTTGCGGAGGAATATCGGGGCAAAGCCTGTCATTGGAAGAGTTCATCGGAATAGGCTTGACAGCCCATTTAGGTCGAGGAGTTGTACTGTTCGCCGCCTTTCTGCCGCGACCTAAGGAAATGTTTGAATGCTCGCGAAGATCCCTGTTGTAAGACGCAGTTTTTGCACGGATTTGAACTGTTCTTAACTTCTCCTGATTCAAATTAAACGGTTGCACTCGATGTATGTAACCCATACGAGTGTGATTCTTTCTCAAATCAGGCAAAAACGCTTCGATCAATCTCTCCCGGTTGTGTTCGTTCATAACTGTCATGTCAAGCTCCGAGCGACAAGATTTAGTCCACCGTGAATTTGGCGGTGAGCCCAACATTGAGTGAGTATCATGAGTTCTAAAAGGCTCTGATCTCGCCCTAGAACTGTTCGTTATTCTCGCCGGAGACGTAGAAATTGTAGAGCCGCGTAAGTCTAAATCCATCCTGGGTTCGCCAGTATCAGTGTGTTGTGACAGAGCTAATTTTGTTTCCACGGTATTTGCCACTGCTGAGTGTTTACCTCTGTTAATATAAACTTTGATGATTAATTCTATACTATACTGAAGCATTCAACGGTAAACGCAATCAAACCATGAAGAATCCGGATGCGACTCAAAAATACGTAATCACATTGCTCTGTATACAAACGTACTCGAAAGTAACTCGTAGAATTGTACTCTAAACTCGCTGAAAGCTTCAAAGATTCGACGGACAAAGAAGCTTTATGCTTGAATGAATTATTAACTATTGTTGTGGTTGTGAGCTTTTATTGTTTACCGCCGAGAGACTGATCTGTTTATAATTAATGCACACGCGGTTGGTCAACGAAAAAGTCAAGCCATTTGTTGCTAAGCAACTGAAAACCGTTGTGAGAAGTGAACTGGATACCAGCTTAGAGGGGAAAGACTACACGTTTAGTGTCGAAAGCAAAAATAACCTCTGCTGAAAAGTGAACGCTTTGACCATCACCTTTTGTTTACTTATGAGTTAAACAGCGACAATTGTGCTTTGATTTTTTTCTGGTTAGATTCATAAGAATTTAATATCTCTTCTTTCGTAGCCTACAGAACAGGCCAGGTTTCCTGGCTGGCAGAGACACGTGAGGCGAACGCCAAGGGCAAGTCACTGCTAGATGAGGAAAGTTTCTCTATTTTGCGCCCTCCTCTCACGCATGCTTTTGATTTCGCCTCGCACGTACTTGCACTCACCTAAAAAAGCATAAAAATAACGCCTGCCTGTCCTGGATGGTAAGCCTCCGAAATAATGTTTTTTTTGCAAGGAATAGCGCCATAGAATTCACCGGTATCCAAAAAGCACTCCACACCCGTATTAGAGGGACAACTCAGCAGAACTCTTAGGATGGTATCATCTCTTACTAAATAGGCCAGCGATCTCGTGCAAAACGATCAACTTAAAATAAGCGGTGCTACAAGCGGTGCAACACTGCTCAAAATAAGTCAGCAACCATCTAATGAATCACCTAAAGTACTGACAGGGGTACCCTTCAGTTCGCAACCCGGAAGCAAAAAAAAAAATAGACATTTCAGAATTTGCGGTTTGGTTCCCGTAGCACACCTTACTTAAAATGCGTGGCGCGAAAAACACATAAAAGTCATTGAACAAACAGGCCTTCCTCGTTGGCGCTTCGGCACGGGCCAACCAGTATGTGGCCTTGAGAGACGCTAGTCGGTGAGGGGTCTTCAAGGGGCCTGGCACTGATAATGATTTCTCGTTAGCGCTTCGGCACGGGCCAACCAGTATGTGGCCTGAGAGACGCTAGTCGGTGAGGGGTCTTCAAGGGGCCTGGCACTGATGATGATTTCCAGACCCCCAGCAAATTAAAGCTCTCCCCGACTCTTCTTAATCTTTCCGCGCGTAGAAACGCGCGTTTTGCAGTGCTAATAATAATGAGGGCCGGATCATAAGCTATCGTTAAATTTGACCGCTCTAGTGAGTCCATTTTAATGTCCATGGAAAGGTCGATGACAAAGCAAATATGGACGTGGTATTGCTGCCGCTTTGTGGCTAATTAGGTGCTTTAAGTCAGCAGCTTGTATGTACCGCTCAACAGCTACAGAAACCAGCCCACAATGCAACACTGTCGAAAAAATTTTTGAAACCACCACCGTTTAAAAGCGAAATGCTATTTGATCCGACACTCCGTAACGAAAGAACAGTGGACTGAGAGTCTGCATTGAATTAAGAGATATCTTTTGTGCTGGTTTGGTCCGAACATCCTTTTCCATAGCAGCTTCTTGCTTCATATTGACTCGCACGTGCTCTATCTGTAAAAAATCTGCGAAGCCCTTCATAATTTTGTCAAACTCTCCCCAAATCCATCTCTCGTGTGCAGATTTGGTTTTTATTTTCTTCACGGTCACCGCCGGTGGAAGTTTTGCACTGCTAGACTTCCTTCGGTTCAAAAGCGAGGCTCTTGCATTCCGTGTTTTTGGTGTAGGGCTTCGAGCCGACGTGATTGTTAAATTTTGTTCTGATCCTGATTCTGACCCAGGCAAAACAGGTGGATTCTCCTTTTCAGATCCTCCCTTTTTCTCAGATTCAGCATTTTCTGAATTATTGATTTGATCAGAGTTCGTCTCCTCATCAACGGTGCCTTCATGATTAAAAATAGATTTCTCATTCTCGATGCTCATCACAGATCTTACTTCAAGACGGCCGTTTATCGCCGCAGTTTGTTCAATCTCCTTCCCCAAATCGCGTTTTCCTTCAAAACTTGACGCGCGTGACGCGCTCTGGCTTATTATACTCTGTCTAAAACCCTGATTACTTTGGCGTACAATCCGGCTGTGATTTTGAAGACTTTTAGCCCCATCCCCTTCATCAGGTGCATCCATGCTTCCTAGTTTTTCAGTTGTAGCAAAAGCTGTCTTTGAATTGTTATCACTTAATTTTCGAGGGACTATTTTTCTTCGTCTTTCAGCTTGCTTCACAAAAACCGCTCGTTCTCTCTCCATTTCTGCAGACCTCAATTGCCTCTCTTGTTCAATTCGATCATTCGTTCGCTCCAAGTCGCACTTCAGAAAAGAGTTACTGTACCTGGCAAAATGTGCCTCACGGCGGGTTGTTTTAAATTTGCTGAGATGAAGCTGTCTCGCTTCTCTACGAAGACGATCAGTCATGAAGTCCTCCCCTATGAGAAAATTGTTGTCCTCGGAATAGACATCTCGAAATGTTCTCCACGCCATGTCTTGTCCTTTCAGATAAAGTTCATGCAACGATTTACTGCTTTGTTTTCACATTTACAAAGACAAGAACTACAAAACGAACTCTTTGTGTAAAGGTATTATCTGGGTGGTCGATGAAATTCAGCTGAAGGGCGAAGCTTACTTTCCGATCGATTGAGGCGATTTTGTTTGTTCTTTGATCAAGAGTCCCTCGGCGTTTTTATTCATTACTTATTTCTGAGTACTATAGCAACTGATTTTCTTGCGGTTTCCACAAAATGAATAAAATATCAGTCATGGTTACTGTGAAACGATGATTGTTGGGGAAAGTTTGAATTTGAAACTGAACTATCTACTTCTTTGGAAGCACTGATATATTCTCTAAACGGTAAAAGGTACAGTATATATTTAGTAGTATCGAAGAACGATTAACTGTCCAATTTTTTGGTTTTCATCAACTGATCTTCCTTGATCGTTGCACTTAATTATTTATATATTCTTTCTAATTGGGGAAAATCATATTTTTAAAAACAGATCACTTTGTCAGATGGGAGGGATTTGGCGAGCTCGCGTTACATCTCCCTCCTTCTAAGGCGCACCCCGATATTCTTCCCAGACTCCTCTGTAGGTAGAAAAAACAAGTAACGACTGGGTACGAGTCTGTTTCTTTGTTCCACAAGTAAGACAGTACGTTTGGGGCTAAAAGTATCATTTACCAAAGTGGTGAATATAAACGTACCATAAATGTGGTCATTCTTTTTATTACTTGGTTTGTTTGGCCTCCTGTCCTTTACTTTTGTAAATGTCTGTTTATTTTTTAATTTGTTTGGAAACTTCCTTAGTTGAATTCAGCCCCGACCACCTCTCCCTAATCTTACATGACACGAGCCTAAAATTAGCTTCCTCTCTATGGTTACTATAGTATGTTGGATCAATTTTTCAGCGATGAAGAACATTTTATAATCGAGGTGATTATCCTTAAACCACTTCTCAGAGATTCAAGCCAATTCAGCGGCACAGAGCTCAAAGTCAGTTCTATCAACGATTTGCGACGGCCGGCACATTTTCGAGCAGTCTCAGAGATTGCATTCGACACCTCACAAAAACAAGATTGATGGATTATGTTAAAGAAAGGAAACGAGAGTTGATGATTTTCTCATGTGCGTAGTTATTTCTTTCTTTCCTAACTTAACATCTGATTGGACAGCTATAAACAGAACTAAATTCCAAACTGTATCGTGCGTAAGAAGGAGATCTGGGTCGGTAACAGAGGCGATGGGCGCGAGGGTCTGCCCCAGTCTTTCCCCGCCGGAAACTCTCGCCCGATTTAAATTTTACTCCACGACCGATCAAACGATTACACAGCAGGACACCAAACCGCATTTTGGTTAGCTAAGGTTTTACAGCGCTAGATTGCCAGTACATCCCCTGACCGGACCAACACTCCGAGTCCTAATTAAAATAACTGAGGAGAGGGTGCACCTGTTGCTATGACATCTGCAAGTGGTCAGACGTTCTAACCTTCTCGGATAAGAATGGTAATCCGTAGGCTGCGTCTCTTGCACCTTCTCTCTTCTGGTAAGCAGAGGACGCTGAGAGTGAGGAACGTATTTTACGGTAGGGTGGTCTGATGTTGTTTTCAAAAAGTCCCAAATTGGGGATGTACAGTACCTACAAAATTTCTTTTAAAAAAGTGTAAATTACTCAATAAAGTCCCCCGCAGATTGTTGCACAGCGCATTAGACCCTAATGATATGGAGAATGCGCTGTGTAAATGCAATTTATATGTTTAAACAAGTTCGCAAGCGGGTACTCCAGCGGTTCTGTAAACGTAAACTGAAGTATTTTTAAAGCAAGAGCTATAAATAACGTCAAGATCGTGACCAAGATGAAAATCGCATGCTGCGGAACACACGGGTTGCACAGTTCAATGTCACGAAAAAGTGCGCAGCTAATCAGTGCCGGCTATTACGTAATTTCTTTCTTTACTTCAAATGGCTTTCCCTTTTGATGCAGTCAAGGATCTATCACGAGTAAAGATCGGAAGACGACTCAAGAGGGCAGTGGAGTGTAGAGGCCTGAATGGCCAATCCACCCACCAACATTAACGCGACAGATTTTTTTTCACTTTGGTTTATATGCAAAACAAGATACCTTGTAACTATCCTGAGCCCTTTTGGTCAAGTCCAAAAAATGTAATTAGCAATTGGCTATTGCGCATTCTTCATTTACTCTCGAGTAAATTGGACATTTCTTGTTTTTATTGATTGAAGACACCACCCTATAGCCGATAAGTTTATATTTCGTCATCACTTTGTTGAATAATGTTTTAAAAATTCTAGAAGCTGCAAGAGTAAGGCGCACAGTTTCACATGATAGGAGAGTTAGCCGATAAGAGTATCAGGTCTGGATCATATGATAAAACACTTTTATCACCAGAATGCTTTTATGGTAAAACTAGACTTGAGCTTATCAGCAGCGGCTGTTTTGATCAAAGAAGGCAAACCGCGTCAGTTTGTTTAGTTCATTTATTTTCTGTCGGTAAATTTAAGGCGGAAAGGAATGTTTGCTTTCGCGATTAATCAAAGAGAGTTCTCTTTGTCTTCAAATTTATTTGCATAAAACACAGGAAACGAAGCGAAGTAAACACCCTTGAAACTTTGGACTCGTGAGAAAATTTGGCCATGCATGAACGCGGTCACTCTTTTCAACTCAGGCTTATCGAAACGAGAAAAACTTGCCACAAAGTAAGACTAAAATGCACAATCCCAAGGTTCACTAACTTGATTTAAGAAAATGACTCAGAGATAGTTGGTTTACAGGTTAAAAATCAGTTTAGTTGCATGAAAACGAAGGCCGGTTTTTACTTTCTAGCGCAGTTGTAACCAGACTAGTAGTTAGCTACTAAGGTTAGAACGATATGGTGTGGCTCTAACGAAAAGAGTTGAGTATTTCTATGACAAATTTCAACTCTTTCGCTGGTTATTTAAAAAAAAAAGAGCGCCTAAAAGCAAAACAGGAACAAAAAATGTAGAAATGACATCAAAAGGGAAACAAAATTATACTAGAAATTTCTCTGGAGCGACTCCAAATCGACTGATAGTTCTATTAGTTGTGGTTTGGTAGCCAAAACAGCAGAGTACCGTAATACGCATCAAAATAAATCATTCATTTGCAAAACCTTGAATATCACGGTTATGCATTTATTTTTGCGACAGAAACAAGTCGAAACGCCATTGATTCTAAAATAAAAATACAACTATACTAGAGTAGGATTCTAAAAGTATTGTTATTGAATGAAATTAAAAGTTACGTTAACACCTCAAAGATATACAACAAGGTACGAATGAGGAATATTAGATAAATTTCATAAATAGCCCAAAAAAGGGAAGGAAAAAAAACGATTCAATAAATGAAAATCGACGATAAACCTACTGAAATAATTAAAAGTTGGAAATTATTAAATAAATGTACGGCTGGATACATAATGTCTATATCACTCATATAAATAGATATGTATCATCGAGGATTTAAATTCCAAACTACGAAATTTAAAATATCAAAATTCAATGAATTATGATCATGTCGGAAAATATAACAATATATATATATAGTTTCCTCAGATTATTGTACAATATACCATATGTCTTCGAGATCAACTATGTACAACGTTTTTCCCTGGGCAAAAAAGATCATTTTCCGAGCAAAATATCAAAGCTGATAAATTAGAACTTGTGGACGCTTCGTGCATAATTTATGCATTTCGAACAACATGTGTGGATGTCTAATGAACGTATTTTTCTAAGAAGCCAGGTAGAATGTGCTTTTTTAATTTTCCCTCTTTGCGAGGATTTTCAATTTTGTCCTCGGATTGATGTTTTTCGAGGTCGTTAGTTACACTGCCTTCTCGATAGATCGAGCGACTACTGTAAGCTTTCGCCTCAGTAGTTGTGGCGTGTCGCCAAGATTCGGGCAAAGGCTGCCGATTACTACTTGAAATTGGCGGCCGTGTGAGAGAACAGCTCTTCAGATACCGTTGTTCTTCACGAGGGGCGATGGTGTACGATTCGCTTTCGCCAAAAGTAACCGTTTTTCGCCTTGTCGGGTCTTTACGAAGTTTATGTTGCCTTCGATACTGCGCTGGTGATTCATCGCCACAAAACCCCCTGCTCTGCTTTCCTTCTGTTCTTCTCGCGTTACCTGGTTTCACAACATACTCGTGTCGGCCGCCGTTGAATGAGTGACTTTTTGCCAGCATAGCGTGATTAGCGGGTTCCTCGACTCGCCGGGCGTAAATAAACTCTTCTTTATCAAATCTCTGGTCACGGTAAAAGCGCGGTGAACATTCACCAGAAGCGTAATGATCAGTTTGCTCCGTATTGCTGTAATTACAGCTTACAGCAGGGTAATGTCTACTGGAGTATCTGGAATCGTTACCACTATCGTGGCTGTAACTAGAATCCTCAGACACACCAGAGTCTGTAGACGTGCTCGAAATAGAATACCTCCAGCCTGGTACATTTTTAAAGTTGTAACCTGCACCCTCGTCTAAGCCATAGGTGACTGAACATTTCTGCTTGAAACTTTCGGACAGTATCGCTTGCGAAAGTAGGGCTCGCACTTGATCGCTTTTCGCAACATCGACCGCTTTTTGCCCATTTCCGTTTCTTGCATTTACATCGGCGCAAGCTGAATTCACTAACAAGCTAACAATGTCCAAATGGCCTTGTTCTGAGGCGAGATGTAGCGCCGTGCGGCCTTCTGAATCCACAAAACTCAAATCCGCCCCTCGCTCTAAGAGAAAGTTTGCTAAAGCTAAATTTCCATCTGTACAAGCTTGCTGCAATGCGGTTAGTCCATACTTATTCGGCTGATTCACCCGTATTCCTTGCCCATATTTCAATATAAACTTTACTTTTGTCGTGTCGCCATCGAGCACCGCTTGATGAAATACTGCACTCATAATAAAGATCTTGAAAGTTCATCGGAGTCTCGAACCATTCATTCAAGCCGCGATTCTGTTGAGAGAAAGAGAGAGCATATATCGATCAGGCAACAGTTAATCTCACTTTTCTAAACTTGAATTATCGCATAATATACCTCAGTTTGTATTCCTTTCAGAGCAGAACAAAGGCGTATTAAAATCCTCGGAAAAGAAAATCAATTAACGG